ACTGAAAATAGAAAAAAAAAAAAGAAAAAGTATATACATAGAAGATTTTGTGTCTGTGTTGTATTTACATTGACATATAATTTTGCTGCAAACTGCTAGTTAATGTGGTGAAGATCAGTATAGTTGGTTAATAAATTGAATAACTGGTAAGCGCAATTATACTTGGATTTGTTATTAATATGTCCTGTTAACTGTTGATGTCATTCGAATAGTGTGAAAAATCCGTTTGGCTGTGGTGATTGTGGAAGGCTGGAACCTTTATTTGTGTTTTGCTTGTGATTTGACTTGCTAGAGGTATTTTCATCTTTTCTGAAATTGCAGTAGTAACAAAGAAAAATGGCTGGAAAAGGTGGAAAAGGGCTCGTGGCAGGGAAGACAATGGCAGCTGCAGCAGCTAACAAGGACAAGGGCAAAAAACAGCCAGTGTCTCGTTCGGCTCGAGCTGGTCTTCAGGTATAAATTTCACCTGATACTAGAAATATTTGATTCTTACTGATTCTTTCTACTCCGTGTTGTGCTCGTTAAGTATATCCAGTTGGAGTCGTCAGACATTTACTTGAGTTGGTATTCTAATAGAATTTGGTGATGTTATTATTGAAAACAAAATAGTTGCTGTGTTTAGTAATTGTTGGTTGAGGTTAATGTTAAATCTGGTCATGGTAATGACTATGATGTATGTTCCAAAGCATCAATGCATTTGAGAAGTGGAACTTTGTGGTAGCTTATAAAATGGTATTTTTGATCTGTGTTGCAATCAGCGGCTTTCTATGCAGGTATTAGATTGTCGTTTGTGGCGAGTAGAATCGGTTTTGGCTCTATTTTGTATGTAGTGGTTGTGCCTGCTTATAGTTCGGTTGGGGACCCTTTGGTAGAAGTTGGTGACAGTATGGAAATTGGAAAAGCAAAACTGGTGTAATTTGTGACAATTATTTAGATAACATCACACACAAGCAAAACTAGTGTCGTAATCGAACCGAGCGAGTCGAGCTTGGGTGTTTTGAGCTTGTGTTCACTTACGTTCGAAGAATGTTCGTGTTCGTTCGTTTATTTTTCGTTCAATTGTTCGTCAAAGTTCAAGTTCGTTCGTGTTCGAATAATTTAAGACAATAAACTTTTTAAATATGTTTGATTAACTCGAAATCTGTTCGTTCGAACTAGAAAATAAAAATAATAAAAGTAAATATTTTGTAGTTTCCCGTGGGGAGAATCCACCGCCAACTCAAGTCAAGAAGCAACGCGCACGGACGAGTTGGAGCCACAGCTGCTGTTTACTCGGCAGCCATTCTTGAATACCTTACGGCAGAGGTGCTTGAGCTGGCTGGAAATGCCAGCAAGGATTTGAAAGTGAAGAGGATAACACCTAGGCACTTACAGCTGGCAATCCGTGGGGATGAAGAGCTCGACACACTCATCAAAGGAACCATTGCTGGTGGTGGGGTCATTCCTCATATTCACAAGTCACTCATCAACAAAACAACCAAGGAGTGAAATTTACATGCATTAAGTGCTTTGTTTGAATATGGTTAACAGTTTGTTATGCTTTTTGTTTAGGTTTGTAGCTAGAGGGGATTAAGATTATGTTTTTATTAGTTTAAGAACTTGGGATCTGACAAGTTTTTGAACTTTTTGGTAGTGTGTGCTGGATTAGTACCGGTTTTAGTTGTTTCTTGATATTATTATGTGTTTGATGTTGGATTATTTGTGGCTAATGGTTTATGACAGTGGTGAAGTTGTTTTTACTTTAAGACGTTAAAAATGTGACATTATTGGAGTCTCATGTCTCTTATGGTGAATCTAATTACAGGGATTGTAATTTTGGAATTGGAAAAGGAGAAGCATAGGTGGGTTTGAATTTAGAAATTTGCTCCAGAATTTATTTATTTATTTTTTTTAGGAATAAAAGTGGAAATATGGTTTAAATTAAAAAAAACTTTGTCATTCAAACTAATGGTTTTCGTTGATCATTATATAATTTTTTTACAAACCACCACTTCAACTATACGTGTTTGTCAAAGTGCTCTTTAAATCGAATATAAAAGTAGTTTGGCTAAAAAAATTGATTTTTAAGGGCATTTTAGGAATTTCATATTTTTTTTTAAAAAAAGGAAAATAAAAAAAAATGAAGAAAGAAAACAACAACCTAGGTGGCGGTGGGCTCCAATGATGCCTCCAATGATGCCGTCGGTGCGTTGGTGATGGTAGAGGCTCCGCGAGGAAGTCAGAGCGGAGCAGAAAGGCGATGCCGTTGAGGGAGCTGCCGCTTGAGCGCTCTCTGAAAGCCTTGAGGATTAAATTTAGATAACTATAATTTAGACATTCTTAATCAATTTTTTGTATATCTGCTGCCAGCCTCAAAGCTGGACTTGGAACTTGCCCGACTACATATAATGAACTGGCCCACCAGTATTTTTAATACAAAAAATAAAAAATAAATTGGACTCGTCTTTCGGCTAGAAACCAGTGGATAAAAAAAAAAAAAAAACAAGAATAAGACTCGGAACCGGCCCGGTTTTACCACAGGTGCGGTTCCAAGACCTGTAGATCCGGGCCGGTTCTGGGAGGAGTCCACGGGCAGAGCCGACCTTTGCCACCTCTACATGAATTGAATCTTTCAAACGTCCAAACCGAAGATTCCTTCGACAATTTGCTCTAGCTCGCTGCCAACAATGACCTGGAAGCCTTCAAAGACCTCGTCGACGGCCACTCGTTCGTTATGATTTTTTTTTAAAAAAAACTCGAGCTTATCTTATAAGATTCCTTAATAGAAATAAACTCGTTCAAATTTGCGCTCCAACTATTTTATCACATAATTTTACCAAATACTTATCATATAAGCTAGTTTTTCATCCATAACTCATAAACTATTAGTTATAAACTCAAAATTAACTTATCAACTATCATCTAATTTATCAACTATCAAATAGGTTTACCAAACATATTTTAATAAAAAATTAAAAATATAATAATAAGTTAGAAATTAATTTCTAGTATGATTGTACAATGTAATATGACGTGTCTCATTTTCTTCCCAAAGCGCACACGTAGTGTAATGAACTAGTGTGTGGCTAGATTGCTTACACCAGTCTCTCTCTCTCACACACACGAGTCTCTTGCTGCTCAAAACCCCACTGCTCTCTCTCTCTCTCTCTCTCTCTCTATCTATGTGTGTGCTGAGTTACGAATCAGGTTTTTCTGGGCTGCTTCGACTTCATCGAATTTTCCTTAAACAATTCTACCCCTATCCCCAAAAATGGCGTCCGCAATGCTAAACGGAGCTGAAAACCTCACCCTAACCAGACGAATCGCACAATCCCCAAACGGCTTAGCTTTCCCCGGCTGTCATTCCTCCAAATTAGCCGGCGCAATCTCGATTAGGGCCGCCGGGAAATCAAAAACCCTCGTCCCGAAATGCAGCCTGTCGGCCTCCCGGCCGGCTTCTCAGCCGAGGTTCATCCAGCACAAGAAGGAGGCCTTCTGGTTCTACCGATTCCTCTCGATCGTGTACGACCACGTCATCAACCCCGGCCACTGGACGGAGGACATGAGGGACGAGGCCCTGGAGCCGGCCGATTTGAGCAGCCGGAGCATGACGGTTGTGGACGTGGGCGGCGGCACTGGTTTCACGACGCTGGGGATAGTGAAGCACGTGGACGCTAAGAACGTGACGATTCTGGACCAGTCCCCGCACCAGCTTGCCAAGGCTAAGGCGAAGGAGCCTCTGAAGGAGTGCAGGGTAATCGAAGGGGATGCAGAGGACCTCCCTTTCCCGACCGATTATGCGGATAGATATGTTTCGGCCGGAAGGTATGAGATATTTTATATTCTGCTGGATGTTTTTGTTTGTTGTGGAATTTGATTTTGATTCGAGTATTTGTATTTGAGTTTGTGTTTGTGTTGTTTGCTTGGTTTATGTTTGGATGGGTGCTTTTTGTGTGTTCTGGGCATTATACAATGGGTGTTGTTTTGTTATTGCTCATTAACTGTCTGATCTGTTTATGTCTGA